TTAGCTATGAAAGAATGACTGTGTCATATTTTTGTGAATTAGAAGATAATCACAATCATCAATATCAAAACATCGGGCCAAAACTATATTTTAATTCTTCCAATCCTGGTTGCAAAATAAACTTTCCCGGCTTCATCAGAGTTGGAAATTAGTGTGGCTCATAACGAAATAAGTTAAATCGAAGAGATTATAAATCGTATTAAAGTTATGAATTAATATTTGTAAATTATTTTCTAAGCTGTCAAGCTTACTTGTACTTATGTATATTTGTATGGAACGGAATCATTAAGAATGATTTTCACCAAATTCAAGAAGTCTAATAATTGGAAACTAAAGTACATTTTTTAATTATCGATGACAAGGTAATAATATGATGTCAGTTTCCCAGAATCCTTATAAGGATAGCCAGGATGAAGATTATCTTCTAGAAAAACCTTTATAAGGAAGTAATACTGTTACCAAGTAAACTTTTCGTATGTATGGAGAGATATTTGAGTATCGTCTTTGTGTAATGTTGTATCCTCTTGATTATAGTCAAGAAGTTTTAAGTTCAACTATAACAGTACTGTTTATTCCTTATAATAGGTTCAGTACTAACGAGTCTAATACACGAAAATTACTGTACAAAATATCCGTATGATATTAATACTACAAAAGACTTCATAAACACAACTATGTAAATAAATTAAGAATTATTTATTTTATTGATCAAAATTTTTATAGACCGCAACGTTTTAAAATTAATAAAAAATAGTTTAGAATACTGAAGGGACTTAATACAATTAAAGTAGGTACTCGTAATTATAGTGTTATGAAATAAAATAAATATGTATAAGGAATATTAATTTGAAAATATTTAAACGAAAATAAATTTTTGTTAAAAAATTGTCAATTGAAAGAAAAACTCGTGGGCTATGGTGTGCATTTTTGTCTATTTTCATAACTTTCTTGTCATAGGTAGGTACTAGTTGAAGGATTGTTAAATATATCAACATGAAGAGTTGTTAACCACCCGACGTACTTACTTTGTTTATAACGTAAACAAAAGAAATAGATATGATTCATTATTAATTACAAGTGACATTTTAATTTTGTTGATGTTAAAGTTAAGTGTACTTTGATGTTTGAAATAACTTAAGCTTACTTAACACACTAGAGAGATCTACAGTTGTATACACGCAGTACAGAAAAATAATAATTTTCTTAAGTAAATGCCTTCAAATAAAATAAAAATGACGATAGAAATTAAGTATAAATTTTATAATAACGATTTTTAATATCCTTTTTTCGATGTATTCTCTCGTATATACGAACTCTTAATCAAATAATATGGACGACGCGAGTGTTAGCTATTATTAAATATAAAGAGATTACCAATAGTATACAAATAAAACAAACATTTGTGTATCTAAATGATTATAGGTATATGTATGTATGTATATTGCTAATAATATGAAAAATTCCTTTCATCCATTTATCATAATCGCTCGTAATGTAATAAGTCCATTGTCAATATCTTTATATTCTTCTGTAATAGTTAAAGTTCCATCAGATGAGTTTCTAGCAGCTGTGACCGATGGCAAGTCAACATCAATGTAACGGATCAAACACCGTGAAATCTGTCGCGAAATCTAAAAGCCGTCTCGGATCCTCGAACACATAACTAGACTAAATCAATGGGCATGTGTTTGTAGTACTGACACCCGTGCACCGAGACGAATCAACGAAGAAAGCCCGTACAAATCCCTAAGAAATAACCGAAAAACCGAAATTTTTCTGCGATTCGTCACACCGATGCGATTTCACGGCCACCTATTACACAGCGACGAATCACATGGACTTAGGTGTTCGACTTTTGTGATATAACACTATCGGAACGAATCGGGCTTAGAAATGTAAGCGATTTGTCATTCTTAAACGTTCGACCGATGCATTATACACTATAAATGGGCAACACTTTTGTTGAATGTCACGTATCTTACACTAGTGTCGGACACGTAACGTCGATCTATTTTTTGTGTCCATGTATGTCTGTTATGTCCAATATTAATTACTCTACCTCAAGAATATGTCCGTCTGTGTATATAAAGTTTAAATGTAAACGGGATGTATTGTTGATAATGTATTATAAAACATATGACTTTATATATTTCTGAGTCTTTGATTCAGTTATTTTAAAGCTGAAAATAATCTTTTGAAATAGTAAATACGATTTATAATCTAGAATTAATTTTAATTAACAAGAATATTAATTTCAATGATTAGAATAATTACTTTATGTACTATCAAATTACTCATTTGTCTATAAGTTCATTAAATTATAATTTTTATAACGATATACGTTTACTCGAAAAGATCCTTTTTTAATTACTGGATTAATTTCATAAATCCATACATATCTTTATGACGAAGTGTTTTAATGTAAATCACCTCTAAAAGAATTGATTACAGTCCAATATATAGAAAATAGAGACATGCACAATATATGTTTTTTTATTTAATATAGCACAAAGTTTGTCTATATTTTTCCTTTCTAGTCATCGCTTTTTCTTTAAAAGTTTTTTCCTCGTTTACATCTTTTAAAAGATAAAGGGAGTTAAGGTTTACGTTTAATTGAAATATAACGAACATTCTTCTTCTACCTGGCAATTTCCCAGCTTTAGCCAGGGTCTGCCTCACATGTTGTGAATAGTTTTGGCTAATTGTTTTACGACCGGCCGGCCTGCCTGACATCAACCCTCTTTGGGAATGCATTAATCAGTGATGTCTAAATACTCTTAGAAAGTACATATGACTCGAAAAATCACATTGATACTTGCTCGGGCCAGGAACGAACCCGCGCCCTCGGCAACGAGAGGCGGGCTCTTGAACCACTAGGCCATCACTGACTTTTAAATATAACGAACATTATACGTACATATCTTTTTTATTTAAAAATTCATATTTACATTTAAATAAATGAAATAAACATTTCACGATATAGTTGAAAGAACATAAAAACTTTGACATTGCGAGTAAGTTACAACCTTTTATTTGAAGGCTTTAAACGCTTTATATCAAAACTTTTATATGCTCATTGTATCTGTATAATATTTAAATAAATTTAATTGTAATTAACATAAAATTTACAAATATTTGATTATTAGTTTTCTCTCTAATTATGTTGAATTACATGCAATAGAATTTCTTCTTCTAATAGTAAAAAAAACATCGCCATTAATTTTTATTTCTAATTTGAGTTAATAATGTTTGAGGTTTTTTTTTAAGTAAGGGCCAACATATTAACTTTCATTGAATATACCTATGTTTAAATAAGTGTATTGTTCATTTACATAATAGGTACGATTGCCCCGAGACCCGCACTAAGAAATTTCTTTTCTGATTTATTAATACTAAGTTCCATTACTCATTAAAACATTTAATATCCTTACTGATATTATAAATGCGAAAGTAACTCTGTCTGTCTGTCTGTCTGTTACGCTTTCACGCCTAAACCACTGAAATGATTTTAATGAAATTTGGTACAGAGATAGAGTTGACCTTGACAAAGAACATAGGATAGTTTTTATCCCAGACTTTTGAAAGGTTCTCTTGGAAACGCGATATAACCGAACTCCAAGCGGCCAAAGCCGCGGGCGGAAAACTAGTTTCTAATAATAGCTCCTTATTATAATACAATTAACATTTTCGAATAATTTTTTCTCTGTTTTTTATTATTGAATATAGATTTAAGATTCAATTTTGGTTACAAATTCATGTAATGAAATCTATGACATCAATCGTACTGATTAATTATTTAACTAATTGCTAGTTTAAATATAGGTAAAGTTATTATTAACGTTCGTAATTTTAAGATAATTTATTTTAGATAAAACTTCATATATTTTCGAAAAAAAAACGTTTATAAAATTTCAGGTAGTAAGTTAAATTTGATTTTGATTAAAAGTATAAAACTTTATTTTGTGTTTGTTTGTTTGTTTGTTTTGCTGACAGTATTCACTTATTTTTTCAATCCGAAAAGAAGTATTTGGAATTAAAGCGTTATATTTTATTAAAGTATATTTATTGAACATTCAGAGATCAAACGAAAGTCATGAAATCTTAACTACATCAGTCTAAAAAAATGGCATATTAACTAAGAAAGATTACAGAAAACTTAAAATTAAACCTTATTTACATATAACAGAAAGTATAATATCTATTGTTACGAGAATACATAAAATACAGTAAATTTAAGGCACACGAATTAAGAAATATACTTATTAATACAATGATCTTAAAGTTAACTAAATATAATTTTAACATTAAGATTGGCACGCTCGGCCTACTTTTGCATAAATGAATAAGGAAATGTAAAGATACATAGAGTACAGTAAAGAATTAATGAATATCACCTTAAACCTATTAAAGCTTTCAAAGATAATAACTCCAAGAGTAAAACATCTCATGCAATTGACGATACGAAATATGAATTCAAAATATTTGAATTCACATTTCTATCGGCTTAATAGAGTTATTATACATTACATATTTAGGATTTCTTACCTAGTATATATAATTTGTATTTTTCAGGCCTTTCCTATACTAATTAAAGCTTCAGTTAATGTACTTTATATCACAGACAATATCCTTACAAACTAATGGAAGACAACGGATTGATAATGACAAATGTTCGTTTCTTAAGAAGTTACATGAACGTGCGACGATATACAGTGCAGTTGACATTAAAGCTGTCTACCAAAACATGTCGGTAATTTTATGATTAAATGAAACTAAATCGCTGTATACTGACGAGAGATTACCAGTAACTTAAACTAAGATCACAATCAAATCACTTGAGAGATTCTCTCATCAGTATACAGCGTCACTAAAGCTAATGGAAGACGTATATGTGCAACACGCACGCACTTAAACTAGTTGTGGAAGACACGATTTTGTTTTCACTGTATTACCAAAATTAATTTAAATGGAAGACGGTTGTGATTTCTTTTTAACGCTGATTAATAACATAGCTTACATACGAAACAGCTAGTGTTGGCGGTGTAGCAGATCTCCCGAACTTCGTTGGCCACGTTGTCACTGATCTCCTCACTAGAGATGAGTTCGAAGCGGCTGGAGTTCAGGATGTTTTGGTTCTCGGCGTTATCGTTATCTCCTACTGGCAGCGGTTTGACCGGCTCTACAGGATAGAAGTACTCGGAGAACGGCACTACGATTGGTTCTTCGATATAAGCAGTCTTATGTGATGGCAGGTCTGGACGTGGTGGTGAATTGGAGATCAACTCCCCAAGCTTCGACCAACACTTGTTGAGGTTCACGCGCGTGGAGCTCGTCACCTTACGCGGCAGTCTTGGTTTTGAGCTCTGAAAATTAAAACAATATTTTTATTTCTATTCAAAAGTGTCCGATATATTATAACATAAAAAATTACTTTACTATTTGAAGAATTATATTAATTGGTGTCGTAATTATGTATATGAACACTATTTACCTGACGGTTCAAGAGCTTCATCCAAGGAGAGCGTGGTGACTGAACTTCCTTCTGCGGCGACTGTGACCCTTCCTTAGCGAGACACATGTTTACTATATATACAAACTAAGTACGACGAACTATCAACAAACTACGTCTACGTATTTACAAGGTTGCTCGAGAGCGAACGACATGCACACGCGGAGCGTACGATGGGAATGATGGGAACAGGAAGGGTGGCCGGCTATTTATACCCGGGCCGAACTAAGCGTGGCCCGCGCGTGCGTACAGTGCGCGCGCGCAGCACGCGAGCGGTAGCGCGCGTTCCGACCGGTTCCTACGACCGTCCTACGGCCGGGAGCTTTGACGTGCTGCGACTTAGAGTCCTTAGAGATTAGTTATAAAGCCTTATTAATCATACCATTATATATTCCTGTTGGATGAGTTTACGAGATTTTTATTCTTTTTTCTATGTTTTTAATAACTGGTTTCCTCCGTGCTGTGAACGCGTGCATTATAAGCGGTGGATAATTTTCTAATGCGGAGATATTAATGATACATTCTGGTCATGAGTTGCATATATTTGCATGATGTACAGCGCGTCCGGAGGCGATAGTTGAATAAACAAGGCTATCTCTGTATCATGAATCACGGCAGCTGGCTAGCTGGATAGATAAGTTCCTAAACATATAGCCGGCACCCGTCGCTTCCTGTGATTACATCGTCTCGCTGCTAGCAAATCAAGTTCACGTTGCTACAACCTGATAAATCATTTCCTCCGATTCAAGGATAGCATGATGAATTATGTTAGATTTTAATAAAGATAGTCCTCTCTCAGACGATCGTGGTATCTTGGCACCAGCTCGCGGTAGAGAAATATCGTTATCTCCTTAACACTATGTAAATTACAACTGTTCCGATGCCATTTCATTTTTCCATACATAACTATTTTTAATGCTTCCAAATTAGCGTTAACGATTTTAAATATTCCAAAATGTTTAACTCTTTTTTGTGAAATATTATAAATCAAATGAAAGTTTAAGGTCTTATTTATCTTTATAGGGGAGAGTCGGATATATCGTACCACTTTTCACTTTAACTCAAATATTTCGACTATAACACGTCTTATAATAATTAATACATATGTAAAATAAAGTTTCATATTTTAGCTTCCTAAGAAGAAGAGAACAGATCCTTGCGATTATTCTAACATTGTTAAAAATGCTTTTTTATAGAGGCTTGCCATCGGTACGATTTAGCCGACTAGTCGTTTTAATCGTACCACTAAGTCTTTAAATCGTACCACAGGTGTTTAAGTCGTACCACTAAATGAAAGACATTAAAATTCTCAATCAAATTATTTATGTTTAACTGTTAGGTGAGTAATAAAACAACATTATTTATATCTTTTAGGTAATAGAAACATAATTTTTAACTCTTAGGTTATACGAGTATAAAGGAACTATAAGCTTTCTCAGTAAAATAACATGATTATACTATGATAATGAGAAAAATCAACATAACTAATAAAAATGAGCCAAAAAAAACAGTAAACTATAATAATAAAGTAACAGTTAACAAGAATGTTGTTTGTAATATAATTATTGTGCATATTTCTTAAAGGAAATAATCGTCACAAATGTCTGGATTCGAAGTACACGTCTCATGTAGCCACCGTTTACAGCGAACGCATTGAATCCAATCAACTTTTGGACCCTTCTTATCGTAGTAAGAACAATTGCACTTTCCACATAAGTATATTTTCAAGATAATCATCGCTGTCATCATCATCGTCTAGTTCTACAACAATTGTCTCTCCTGAATCATCGCTACTGGTGATGGAATGAGATCGTTTCCTCTTATAACTTTAGTACTTGGCCTTGGGTAGTACTTACTATACGTACTTGCGGTAGTACTATAGGTACTTGCGGTTGGTAGTCGGGTAAATCGTACCAGTACAATTTAACCAACTGCAAGTGGTACGATTTAACCAACTAAGGCATTTCTAAAACAAAAGCAAATATCCGGCATAAACTCAAAACTTAGACACGCAACAAAAACCTCCAATAATCTAGTATACAATTGTAGAATAATAAAAAAAACTGTATAACTATACCTTATCTTGATTACGAGTTATCTCCTTACGAATGTACGACAATATTTATATTAATTCCTACAAAAAATGTTTTTCTTTTATTACGTGCATAGTTGTTAACTCACGTCGATTTAAACTAGTGGGTGAAGAGGGATGGTACAGAGCCACGATTTGGCGTTGTCAGTGTAGAAAAAAATCTTCATTAAATGGGAAATTTAGAAGTGGTACGATTTAAATGCTAGTACGATATAACCAACTCTCCCCTATATAATATAGGTACTTATATACGAATATTTTTTTTTGTTAAATCTTAATAGGTACAATGTCACTCGGAACTAGGAAGTATTATCACATCATCCGATAATGTCTTTCACTTTTAACTAACACACTAAATTAAAGTATATCTGTCAAGTATTAAAAATGACAATTTATCAATGAAGCAAATAAATAGGTATTTGAGAAACAAAACCAAAATATCATCGTTATAGAAAAGCCGAAATGTTCGTATTTCGCCTTAAATGGATAGGAATTTAACGCGTAAAGTTATTATTGAATGCATCTGTTTAATTTTAAATCCAATATCAAGTATAAACTTTAGTTATTCCTACAAGCACATCTAAAACGAGTAGTCGCATAATTATAAATAATATTTTAAAATGTATAAAATTTTAACATTTTCTAAGTGAAAGCTTACAAAGCAAGATAATCACACGATCCACATAGCAGGTAATCTTGTAAACAAATTTTACAGTAAATTTTGTACTTAGAATAATCATATAAATAGGATGATTATAAATAAAAGTGAATAAAAATTGTGATCAACTAAACAAATCTAAAAGCGGGAATTTATACCTAATTTAACAGTCAGCAATGATAAAACGAGATCTTTTAATGAAAACCTCGTATTTACAGACGCATCTTGTGCAAAAAAACATTGCGTATAAAACTAATTGACTTCCAATAAGACCTACACGGCGTGTCTATTAACAACTTTTTATAAAAACCGTTGTAATTATATAATTAATAGTCTGCTATTAAAGGTATGGCTTAATTAATTCTTCATAAAATATATATTCTTATAAGAAATGATTCTAATTTCAAATTTTAAAGTCCATTTATTAGTAATAAGTTTTTTGTTGATAACAAATCTTATGTTCTATCTTGATAAGTGACGCAACATAAGTCGAGTTTCAAAAATGTATATCGACACTGAGAGCCGTTGTAACCGATCCCTAAGAATTTTTACTCAACATAATACTTTCATTAAAAGAAAAAAAAAACCTCGACCACAACCCGACCACGTGCAGCCTTTACTTGAAAAAAAAAAGAATATAAAATCTTAACCTTTTTGCGTCCCAAGGGGTAGGGTTACAACAAATGGAACTTTGTATTCCGTGCGTTACGTATCAAGCTATACATTATGTTAGTCTATCACACACACACATACACACACACACACACACACATATAAAATCTGTATTGTATCATTGTGTGCGTGAAGCGTGCAATACACGCGTAACTCCTGTATTGTTGACTTGTCTACAGTATTGTGGCTGGTGTATTTTGTGATGTCAATAGGTGTATTGTTATTGGCAAAAGTACAAATGTATGGTGTCCCGCCATAATTGTGTTCGTTTTAAAGGGTTGTTTAAAACAATCTATCGATATAAGTGGACGTACGCCACACTTTACATCACAATGACTGCATACCGATACTGTATGCGGGCTCTATATAAATATTATAAAGAAGATATTATATGTAATTACGTAAATAGATCTCTATAGAGTTTATAGATTTTTGATAGTAAAAAAACTTAAAAATATAAAAACACTTCAAAAGTAAAAGACATTTGTAATATTTTAAATCAAATATATTATAATCCAATGGTTTCTTATTCAGTAGACAAAATAAAACAACACGCATTCTTTTCTATTTTGTTTATTCCCTCAACGCGACGCGACAACGCCGGGATCAAAATATTATAATTCATTTTGACGTTAATAGACGATAACTTAAAAAAAAACTGTATAAAACCAACTTTTTTACTTTAAAAAATATGTTTAAGATTTCATTTTTGAGTTATATCTTAAGATGCGTCTTAAGATCATGTTATACTTTTAAATTTTATTTAATGACAAAATATATTTCCTCATATTATCTATTTGCTTTAAATAGAGAAGGATCAATATTTAAAAGATTTTTAATGTTCTAATTATAAACAAAATATCTAGAAAAAAAAACTTTCGATAAAATTTGATTATAAATTAAAAAAATACATATATAAATCCTTCAACCCGTTTAGATTGCTTACAAACCATAAAGAGACAAACAGATAAACGCGTCAAAATCCATAAACTATCCCATTCTTTTTTTTTGTGTTAATAGATTTATATTGTACTCCAGTATTCTAATTTGAATAAAAAAAAGGTAATGAAGCAAGATATCAACTTTGTAAAACGTAATTTCACAATAAAAATAATCCTGCGATAGAAAAAATTTAAACGGTGCATATATCTTCAGGCGTCGCAAATTAAAATGCCATTAGTTTTTAAAATTAATGTCCACCATTATAATAAAACATTCGCATCTATTTGTAAGAGACTACCTGGACATCGTTTACATACATCTAAGATGAAATTACAGATGCAATCTAAATGAGAAATTACGTCCGAGCAATTAGCGGTGCATGACCATCATTAAAGAGTAAAGAAAAAATTACTATAATAAGAGCGTATAAATCAGGGGTGTACGTAATATGGAGATTTCAAACAGATTTGATACTGAAATCGAAGCCCGTATAACGCACACAGACGCACGCCGAGCTCGTGTCGGACACGCGCGTCACGCACACACACACACATCTAATCGAGGCTTTCGCGTGTCGGTCGTGTGTGCCGCATCCCCGTTAAGGGGCGCAGGTGTCGCTCGGTGAATGAGGCTGCCGTGGGAACGCGTCCCAACCCTCGGTTCCCATGGCCACCACCTGCCACCTGCCGTACTACGCATAATTCGCGTTCGTAAATGAACGGTAGTGACCACGTGTGGCCACCAAGTTTTTTTTATTATCAGCGAGGACGCGGAAGACCGGTGAGCTAACAACGTCTTAATGATAGCTCGAGGATCATCCAGACACGATCGGATCATGATTATTAAACACGAAAAACCTATTATAGAACTCGAGCAGTGATAACGCTTTAATCGCCAAGCTCTTGCGTTCCATCTTAAAAGACTATATACAATTATAATATCATTACAGGACTGTACGTGTATATTGAATTACAATCCTGGCGATTTCAATTACCACAACAATCAATCACGCCGTTGAAAGGTCAACGCAAAAAACGCTAAGTGATTTTAAAATTGAATATCTGAATCAATTATGTTATAATATCTTTTGTAATTAACAATACGAGCGTGTGTCGACGGTCGTCGGTCAATTCAATAGTAGGGTAAGGACTAAGGGTCCATCGTTTGACCTTTGAATTGATGACCTTCACTTGTTATAGGGATGGCTTTTGTTAGGCGAGCATTATGGCATCACACCCCAAACGTAATGAACCCCTAAATAAAAGGAAATAGCTCGTATTTAGGAAAAGCGTGCCATTCAAAATAACATCAATAATATCGCAAGATATTTTCATACAAGATTTTTTTTTATAATAAATATAAAAATTTTAATACAAAAATAAATTTCTTTCAAATAGCTGTCTGGAAATTATGAATAATAATAAAAAAATATCGACCTGAAAGCGTTCATTACGAGTGCAAGTCTTGATAACACAACGCAAAAACACCTCAATTATCGCATGTGGAGCCGCTGGCGAATGTCACAGAGTAATAATTACCGCTGTATTACCTGTGTTAAATATTATCAGTGGGCGTCGCTTTCACTGGAATGGCGGTAATCAAGTGGAAATATCCGGAATCATAATAGATAAAGCTTCCAGACGACAGAACTTGATTATTATGATTAATATTAAATTTCAAGTTTATTTAAACTTAAATAGTTCATGATAATATAAAAATATCTAAGATAAAGTCACATTAAATTATGCTAGTGAAGCTATACGTGAAATTACAATACGTACAAGTTACAATAAACGTTCCATTAAATCGTTATTATCATTTTATTTTGTATGTTGATCATAAAAAATGAAATACTGTTAATTAAAATCCTTACATATTATCGTATTTCTGTATCAATGTTATAAAAATGCAATTTTATTCTCATTCTTTACGCCGTAGCGTATAATTTACAAACTCGTCTTAAATCCTCGGTTCATTCTTAATGTCCACTTGCATTTAAATATACGATTGGCCATTCTACGAAAATATACGACAAAATATATAAAGGCAGTCCTATTTTTACTATATTAAAACATAATATTATAAAAATTTGATAATATTTCTCCTTTAATTTAAACAACACTAGCGTATGCCCGCGATTTCGTCCGCGTTAATTTCGGAATTAGCAACATGTGTATTACTGGCCGGGTAAACTATAAAAGATATTGGAATTTATTTAATTTTTCTTTTTCGATATAACAGAATTAAATATCCTAAATCCGTTTTCTGGTTCTAATCTATCTCCCAACCAATTTTCAACCATATCCCTACAGCCGTTCTTGAGTTATAAATAGTGTAACTAACACGACTTTCTTTTATATATAAAGACTTGTATTACCAACTTGCTTTTACGAGATAAGCGATGTTTTTTAAACATTTTCTTTCATATGTCATGAGTCTAGACTGTGTTATTAAATAAAGGGGTAATAAGCAATCATTACAGACTCGGTCTTTATTTTGCTATTATTTTTTTTATGATTAATGAACGAAAATTATGAGCACAATGAAAAGTCGCTTTGTAACTTGAATGGGTGTTGTAGTGTCTAATAAGTATTTGTTCACGATTTATGGATGAAATACTTTTAAAGTAGAAATTATGGTTAAAGGATTTAAATTCCTACTGGGGATATATAAATGTATTTTCACGAGTTTTTTTTACCTTTAATAATATATAGCGGTAATGTTTGAGTTCCATAAATATATTGAAAAAATCTTTAAATGTTGAGTATTTTGTATTGCAAAAAAATATATGCCATCTTCATTATTTTATCGTAATAAGAAAAGATAAATAATTATACAGAAGCATTATATACCTAGTATTTTATAAGTTTAAAGTGGTTTGTGATTTAAATGCATTTTTTATTCTCGACTTTAATAACATATCTTTATTTTGATACCACAATCCTTGTATCTTAAAAACGTTAAATGCTGTTTTAGATAAAGTGCTTTGTTGATCCAAAAACCCTTAATACACTTTATTTTTGAATTCTTATGTAGTATACATGACACACTCCAAATACACAACCCTCTCTTTTACAGCTAGTTTAAAAATAGTAACAACTTTAGACTTCTTAACGCGTACTTAGTTTGTATAAAAAACACACTATGAGTGTTATGTTCCAATATGTAATGAAGCAATTATTTAATAAAATTCCGGTTAATCTACATATAATGAATAATAAAGAATAGTATAACAATATATATCTCAGAATTAGTATATTTTAAAGGAATGGTAGACGACTTAATGAAAATGAATTGATGAAAAAATCTACAATAAATTTTATGATTTGTTTGAATGAAAGAAGAGTTAAACAATAAAGTCAACAAAATTTTATAAATTATCCTCCCAAAGTATAAAAGTTCGTTACCTTGCAAATTTTTTGCTTTAAATTTCCTTTACATTAAATACAGATGCTCTAATGACTGGACTATAATACACATCAACATATCATCTATTTAAAACTATTTCCTATAACGGACTATAAATATAATACGAATCACTTCAAGACTGATATACCTACAGGGTGACTGGTGAATTACTATCAATATTTAAGGAGCATACTCGGTACATGATTCTCATTCGAATTATGTAAAAAAAATAGGTACTTAATTTTTGACCAAATTTCCGTATAAATAAATAAAGTGCGGACACGTTCCAAGTGTTCCAAGTGTGGACGAATGCGGCGGCGTGCTGATACAACACCACGCCGCCGCACGCGTGTGTGTGTGTGTGTGTGTGTGTATACATAATCTGTAGGGTGTTCACACGATGCGTAATTAATTACATAACTTTTGGTTAACTTTACTGAGAAGTTTATTAATATTTACGTTATATTAATTTTTATTTTGTCATATATGATCGTCAAATATCACGTCCTCAAGTATCGATAGTAATTCACCAGTCACCCTGTATAGTCTACTATAGTTACATCAACGTGGGCGTATAGTCTTAGAATATTTTATTGTCATGTCAACAATGACAATGATTTATTTATAACACTTTATATTGTTTTCTGATTAAATTCAAATCTTTATCATATTGTTAGCAAATTGTTAATTTTAAACGTATATGTATAATGTATATAATATATTCTAGTTTGTCCGTATGTGGATTTTTTATTACTTCCTTATGTATGCGATATAAATATTTATATAATTATTATGCTTTTAACTGCAATTTTTTTTATATATAATTTTCCCTCACTACCACTACAAATAATTTATTGCTATATTTTGCCTTCAGATGTAGTCTTCGTACAGATTTTGTGTTGAGACAAAATAGTTATGTTAAGATCTTCTTCATATAAATGTTTGATATTAATTACCTCATGTCTACAGATCTGGTTAGACCTGAGGATTTACTATTATTTTTATAAGGTCTATGAGATAAATCATATGTCGTTTGATCAAGATTTGTTTTTTCACTATTTGAAAATGTAAGCAGATTTTCTTTATAAATACCTAATACACACTTTGTATTAATAGAAAAAACATGTGAAATATGTGATATTCATAACAATAAACTCTTTTTATTCATAAAAACCTATTAAATAACTCTCGCATAGAATTTAAATTGATAATAAAGTATTTTAAAAAAGGCGGCAAAATAAGACTACTACTTATTTCATGAAATAATCTAAATGATTCAAAAGTAAATGTTCACCTCATTATACTTAAATTAAAATAATACTATAAATGGGGACTATAAACGACATTAACTACCAACTAAACAAAATATATTCGTATTAGCGTAAAAGATCGATCAAGTCCAGACACGAACGCGCCAATTAAATGTGACTCAATAAACATCACATCGGCAACAGATCGCAAAAAAAAATACTGATAAGCGATACCAAAAACCCGGGCAGTATCATTAAGCACACAAAAATATGTCTTCTATTTACACAGACGTCTCAAAGTGGTTATAATATTGTAAATGTCGAGTGCACTGTTTACTCAGTAAGAACTGCTTGGATCGCTCACACCTGCCGCCTTTTCCCACGCCTGCATTCGGCTGTCTTCGGCCGCGCTCGGGAATGCTCGGGATCGCGTCTCGAATACAAATTAATATGTTATTAGTATGTGCATTTCACTTCTATCACGGATCAAATGCATTCGATCGAGCTTAAATACTTTTCATAGTATAAACGTGTCCAGGCATAAGGATTATATATGAACGGAATGTTCCCATTCAATATGCCAATACAGTCTAAAGAATATGTAAATCACCATAAATCCGTGAATATCATAATTCATAAGCAATAAATAGTCCCGTAAGTCGATTGTTATTAATAAAACAATTTAAACGGAGCTCGCACAAAAACATGGACGGTGCGCTATTTTTAAAAATGGCTATAAAAAATGTACTCATCTGTTATAGCGTCCCGTTATATTAAAAGGAGCAAAACATTGTTTACGCATCGTGTTAAATAGTAAAAGACTTGATAGAATGATACATAATTGCCGCCAACTGGTAGGTCGGGTGCGTTGTTTACAATACCTAGGTATATTAGTAGGCCAAATAAGTAGTATAGAATAAATTGGCAAGTCGAGTACCGTTGTGAGTACCGGTGGCGATATTGTTGAAAAACACACAAAGACACTTATACGTACAAGTAACCTTGACTTGACGTGTTCGAACTCGTTATAATTAAATGTTTTTGTTTTTTGTTCTATAATTTACTTTACTATCATCTACTATCGATATTGTATTATGTGTGTCAGCGTCTTTATTTTTAGAAGTTATTGTAAAATTATTTGCTACTGATTTGCTAATTCGACTTTAGAATTTGTTGAATGTTAATAGAAAGTTAATATAATTATAAAATATAACTATAAAATGACAGTAAAACCAATAATAACAGCAATTGCTCAAATAAAGTTCCGGTCGATAAATTGCATTATATGATTGCAGTGGATTTTTTTTTATATAAAAACGAGTTCAGCATTGATTAAAAATCAATATGGCCGCAAAAACTACTACATCGTGTCATGGCTCGTTGTTTCCCGCCGCGCACACCTGCCAACTTCTCCCACGGTATAGCGTCGGTTTGCAAGTTTATATATATATGTGTATTTTTTTGCTGTTTTTATCATCCATCCATGCATTTTAAGTAACCACTTTCCTTCCAATTTAAAAATTTTGCTCCGTACACCTCGTACTTCATTTTATGGCGCACTTTTTGACAGATGCGTTTTGTTGCACCTTCGGTTTGTGTTTAAAAAAAATATATGATAGATACCTACGCTTCTTTAAAAATATATATATGTGTTGAATAATTTATTAGTAATTTCAGGCTTCTGTATTATTAATGTGGTTTTCATATTAAATGACTTATGCGAAAGTGAGTAGAGACATCGGGCTTATTTATCGTTTATTATTTTTTTCTTTTTATATAACTGGCCAGTATGTATGAAATTTATTTTGTAAATCTTTGCCTATTTTGAATGACAATAAAAGAAAAAAAACGTATCGAGATCCCAAAAATGTTTACAAAAAATCCTTCGTCACAGGTGTTTAATTGTTTTGTTCAAATATGGGTTTCGCATTTGTATTCATTGTGTGAGGGGGCACTGGAGCATAACTCAAACCAAAATTTGGTCAAGGATTTTTAAGCTTTTATTGTTGCATCAAACCTTTTTATAAATCCGTGATGACTCACAACTGGGACGTCTTGATTTTTTTATATTATTAAGAACTTACATGATCTTATTTTTTGCTGTAGCTGGCATACAAAATTTTAAGTTTACTATAATGTAAGTTAATTTCTTAATATATTTTTATTCCACATAATTTTGTCTTTCATTTAGTCACACCGATTTAAACCTAACACTTTATTTAAAAAATCATAATCGTAGAAGATTAGTGATCATCTAATATGTATTAGTAGAATGATTTAGTTATTATATAAAATTTAATAAATTATAAAAAGATATAAGAACATTAAAATTTTACTTCACTTTGCCAAAATATACATATGAAATTAAACGTTACAAAAGCAAAGACGTTTAAATCGTTTAATTAAAACTGGCACTAGAATTTTAAAACAATTAGAAAGTAATTCCAATTAAATTTAATGTAAATTTAAAAAATCGGGAAATCGACGATATTAATTACAAAACATCTAAAACATTCTAGAACAAAATTCAAATTAAATCATTTTTACACTGGCAACATTGTAAAATAGATACAAGACATTCTAGAACGGAAATTCAAATGTAATTCGTAACGTTTTCCCTAAACGCGAGCGCGAAAATCCTAGCTCAGCCTCCGGACGTGATTGGTGGCCGCGTGGCCAATAGAAGCGGCGCGGGCACTGCGCACACGCACGCCTACCGGACTATTTTCCGACATTCTAATGAAAACAGCGTTCATTACTACATTTATAATACATTATGTACTAGTTTCCTACTACTCTTAAGGCTACTCTAAATTCAATATAATTTTTTTTTCATACATATATTGTAGTATTGTTAAAACCGGTAACAACTGCATTTAATGACGTAATTATCATTAAAAAAATAAGTATACAAAAATATCAAAATAAATCCACCCCATATCATATTAAGCATATTACTTCATCAAATATTCTTTAATTCTGCCTTCGCCTTTTATTTTAGGTTTCAAAAAAGGTTAATTAAAACAAAATGATGATCGTTCTGATAGCCGCATCACAGGAAACGTACTTCAAACGCACAGATATCACTGGCACTCAAACATTTATCGAAACTGGTCTCCGCGATATCAAACATTAAAATTATAAAGAGTTTATCAATCATATTACATATACCTACAAAGAAAATAAATTCATGCATTCTTAATATTTCTATCGATATTTAAAAATTAAAACACATTTCCCGCTATTTTGCAAACGTCAAAATCAATGCATTCCATTTTCAAATACCAAAAAGTTTGTATATAAATAAATAGAATTGTAGCTATTTATATATGGTATTTGAAGTAATGTATACTTAACAGCGGCCACAAAGCGAGGCATTGATAAATGAGAACCGACAGTCCATTAATATTTATACATAACCTACGGTGTTAAGATCAATGAGAACTAAGTAATTACATCTTCCTAGCCTTATCTTAATGTAATGAACATTTGTATTAATAAAAAATAAATTTTATTCATATTCATAACATTCCCATATATTATTCTAGTTAATTAACTGTCTTTACGAGCTATTCGAAGTAGATGAATAAATTTGTCTTAACAGTAATATGTCTACTGATATATGGTTTTATTGAAAGTAATTCAGAAGTGACTTATAATTACAATATAATGTATATTATAAACAGTTATTTTTACGATAATATGTGTATTTTTCGTAAATGTTTTCATAGTAGCATTACTGCCATCTAGTTTGTAGAGTGCGAACTAAAAAGTTTTGTGTACCATCCGTTGGCGCTACTGAGTTGATTTGGTAAAAACGATTTCAAACTATGATATAACTACATACATATTTGTTTTTATAATTTATAATATATTTCAAAAATCGTTCGATAATTTGCAATGCGTTTTTTTATTATTACTTTTGAATGTTTTGTTATTGTTAATAAAAATTGGTATAATTATTATTTGGTTTTCAACATACATATCTTTTTTATCGTTTAACATGTATAAATTATACACACTATGTACACACGCTTAACAACAACATAAAGACAATCGTTGCAAGTAAAACATCCGTCCGTCGTTAAAATATTTAGTAAACTTTTAACTGTACGTTAATTCGCATTGTTATTAAACTCAGATTCACACAATAGGCCTTCAGGCTGTTTAAACACCCGCTGAAACGTATACAGCGCCCTCTTTTGTCACGCCGTTGCATGTCACACGACACGAGCCAAACGTCTTCTCTCTCGCTCTAACTCACAGCTCGTTATGTTGATGTGTGTGTTGCATCTCGCTCTAATCTGATCGATCATTGATCTTTGATATTCGTCGCTGAGCCGAGCTCGCTTCGTGTATCTTCGTCATCTTCCGTCTCGCTCGCTCTCATTACGGTCGCGGCCGTCTCGTGTTACTTTTATTGGCGTTTTATTATTTCTTGTAGATGATCACGCGATTGTAAGCTATCGGCCCGCGCACACGTCACACGCTCCGTCCCTCTCTGTCTCGTTGGCCGTCGTATCATCCGTCTCGCTCCGACCGGCGCACGTCTGACTCGCTGCCGTGCGTCGATGTTTTGGGAAGTGCACCCGCCCGCCGTTCCCACGGTTCACCTTCGGCTGACTTCCTTAAGAAAAAAAAACAAATAAGAGCACTTTGTAAGAGAATCAACGTCTGCCGGCCGCGTTCACGATTAATACAATTATGACGGAGCACGAGCAGGCGGCTACCAAATAATATATTATAATACATTAAGGACCGGCCGCTTGTTGGCGTGTTGTGAATAGAAGGAAACATTTAAATTTAGAACTTGATACAAAAAAAAGAAACATAACATTAGAAAAAAAAATTGCATACATTCAGCTTAAGATTACAAAGGAGTTTCAATGAAAAGTTTTTATTATAAATTAGTACAAACATTTCACAGTTTATTAATAAATCAATGTTATATGTAATTGGGTTAATAAGCTCGTTCCCATGATAACCGGGAACAGTGATTCAGTATGCTAGGGATTTATGCGGGACATTTAACGGACTTATTAAGGAGATGTATTTAATATAGGTATTTATTTAATAAGATTCAGTACATTCACTGTACTCAAATTTATATTGTGTTATATAGTTTGAGTTGTTAAATAAAGTGAGTCAGTTAATATATACATATATATATTTAAATAAATATCTAATGTATTAAGTATGTACAATGATATTTAGTCGTTGCTAGTAATTGAGGTTTATTGGGGTAATTCAATATACACCCTATATATGTATATAGGGTGTATGTTTGATTTATATAAATCAAATATTCTTAGTCCACACTAATCTAACGTTATACCGGCATGTGCTCAAGAAACAATATCCCATTTGGAGTTCCCTAAGGAGTTGTTCCCACGTACCAACACGTGTACACATTCAGAGTGATACATACCATATATGGAATACACACACACACACACACACAGACACATACACACACAAACAGAATTACAATATAATTAGTGAATACGTCATACATTTAAAGCATATTATATTTTATAATAAAAGCAACCTAGATACAATACGGGAATTCAAATTTCAAAAACATATAGGGATAAAATAAAAATAGTCAACATTTGTAAGATTCGAACCAACTACCATCAAAATAACGAATTCTAGGTGCTTTGCTAACTAAGCTATACACTTGATATATTTTCATACTTTTTTCTCTTGCATTATAATTCATATACCTATAAGTATATTATTATGAAAAACATAATTTATTGCTTCATTATAAATGTGTCCAAAATCCTAACAGATTTGAGTTTGATTTGTAATTGAGTAATATTAAAAGAAGTTACATTAGCACCACAGTAATGTATTAAAATTAGTCAAATACTATATAGTTTTAAAATTTATTAATGAATTTTATTTAGTCTAAAAATAAAAGAGGAAACATATCAAATATTAAATTATTAAATATTTCTATGTATTGCTAGTATAAATTAAAAAAAATGTCATTGACAGATAAGACTTCATTATTTCAATATAATGATAACAGATTATAATATGAAGGCCATATTATAAAATTTAAAAAAAAACAGATTATAATCATTTTAGTGTCATTATTTTATATATAATAGCGTAACACTTTAGTTAACTTCAAATACTATATGTACCTTCCTTCTAACTAAAGTTCTTAGATAATTTAAATATTTATTCTTGTTTTAGGTAATTGCTAATAAATTCTATAACAAAAATAAATTAGTGTTTTCGTTTAATAAATACAATTTTAACAATAATGAAATATTCCACGGTTCAAATGTGAATAAGGTCATGGCAAAGAATTTAAAAAATATTTACGGTTCGGAAATATTTCTATAAAAATATCTTCAAATATAATAAAAGTAAATGTTAAATAAATCATTGTTATAATTCTAATGCATATTATGATCTGTTATTTTCATTCAAACATTTTGTATTCATTTTCGCACAGATAATAAATAAATTCAATGAAACATGTTGCCAGAATCCCAAGACTGTTATTTTTCAATTATATATTTAATAAACGGAAAAAATATAAATAAAATTGTATCAATCGTACAAACAAAATGTCTTCCGCCTATCAATATTTTCCTCGTTACCAACATCTTCCTTGTATTAGTTTTTCAAAATATCCTATATTAATCAAAATTAAATTATAAATAAAACTATTTTATATAATTATCTGAAATTTTGTGTTATTATAAAATCGGTATTGTAATCTGAATGGTGAACGCAGTTATTTGGCTTTCGTAATATAATACGACGCAAATTATTGTACGTGTTGACCATTGGGATAAAACTTCAAGGGCGGGAAAACGTCAAACGAGGAAGTGACGCGGCCATTGTTATAAATATGGTTTATTATTATTGAATTGAACAAAAAAATATCTCTTGTTATTCATAATATATAATAATTTATTGTGATTTATCAAACAGTTGATGTTGACATTGAAAAATATTGTCATTCTAAGACGAAAATCACAAGCTTACTGAAATGTTTGGACCCTTTTTATAAACTAAGTTGAAAATTTCTTTGAATACTAAATTTTCATATAATAAGATAAATATAAAGATAATATTACTTAAATTTTATATTTAAAATATTTATACCTATATTGGCTGTATGTTTAACAACCAAATATTTTTTATTCTTAATATTGATACAGCCAATGTCACTGACCACTGAATCGAATACTCACATTTTTGAATTTCGAATATCGTCAGTCTCAAAGTCGCTAGTGGAGACATGAATATTCATAATGTTTTCTATAAAACAATAATTAAATTTTAGTTCACACCACAATCAGCTACCGGTATATATTAACATAAATATTTTTCATCATAAACATTATAATTATTCAAATCGATGTTAAGTTGACGTATCTCGACTGTTTATGACTGTGTATATGCTTTCCTGCACTTGGCGTTTTACGATGTTAGGAACAATATTTGACATTTGAAATTGAACTCTATTACTAAGTAAATTCAGTTCATATTCGCATGGATGTAACAGTTAATCAAGTCTTCTTTACGATGTTACCAACGATATTTGACATTTGAAATTGAACTCTATTACTATATCATTTCAGTTTATATTCGCATGTATATTATATTTAATCAAGTCTTTATAAAGCGATAAGTGACACCTGTCTTCTTTTCCCAGGCTAGATTTTAGTTGTAACGGATGTCGAATGTCAAGTTATTTGAAAATATACGCGGATATATTTAATACTACACCATAAAGCCAAGGAAGGATTCATCGTATATTTTATTGTTATACTGGCTGTAACATTTATTACTGGATTGAATTATATGATTATTGAATTAGATTTTTGATTAATTAATAATTAATATTAATTAGATATAATTTTAAAAGGATTTTATTGGGAAGAATTTGAAAGATGTAAGCTACGGATAACACAATAAGAATTGTAGAGATGTTTTTATAGCGAAATCTTTGTTTTGGGTTGTGTATAAAAAATATGAAGTTATAAGTTGATTTTAAATTATATTAACTGATTTAAATAAGTTTTAGTATCATAACCTCAGAACCCAAAAAATCTAAGCTATGAAAAACTGATATTTGAAAGAAAATATTTTTAGTGGAAGAACTCTTTCTTTTCTGTATATACAGGGTGACTGGTGAATTAGGTACTATCAATATTTAAGGAGAATACTCGGTACATGAAATTGTATAATTCACTAAAAGAAATGTAAGAAATGTTTGAATATTAAATACACATGAAGACCATATATAATTTTAAGCTCGGCTTTAAAATTTATGAATAATTTATATTAATATTTAAAATTAGTGTTAATTATTTTATATAGTGAAACAAGTTAAAAATTATCTATCTAAGAAGAATACAGACTAAATATTAACTGGCATAAATTCATATAGAGCCAATGTATTTTTCTTCTTTCAATCCTTCAGTAAATTATTAAAATTTAAATTAATTATACACTATTTTAATTGTATTTTCATTATAATTAATTTCTTACTAATACTCAAGAATAGAAAGCGTAAAAAAATTATCTATCAATCAAGGCAGTGTAGTTTTCCTAAGACGCGCTTGACAAAACATTTTTTTTTATTATAATTCATATTGAAGACAAATTGCCAGTCATATTAATTATCAGCGAAGGTCGTATATTAAAATATTAATATTAATATTGTATAACAATAAAAATACATTAATTACTATGTGAGAAATTAATATTAAGTGGATACATAATAATTATCAACGTGTTGGCTTTATGAGAATTAATTTGAAGTCAAAAAACTATGACGTAAATGACTAATATGAATTTTAAATGGAACTAGTTTTTTTATTTAAAAGATAAAATTAGGTTGAAATTATTAAAATTAGGATGGTGATATAAAAAAAATCTTTAAAATGAAATTATTTTGCTAAGGAAATTTGGAATAGTTGCCGTCTGGGTCTATGCTCGCATATTAAACGCTCTTTGAGTTAAAGTTTCATTCCATATATATTCCAACAAATATTAAGTCGATTTAAGAATTTATTTCTTCTTGAAGTTATTTAATAAGTAGTCTATTTCACTCTTTGTAAGATCATCTACTCGCAAGTGAAATTCCCATCCAAATCGGTCCAGACTCCAGACGTTCCGAATATTGTCGAAACAAACATACAGGCAGACGAAATTATTAAATTAGCTCTTTTGTTGCAAGCATCGTACATTATTTTATAATCGTTAGTTGATAAGCTAATTTAAATTACATACAAATAATTAAATGTTATTTATTAGTACTGAATAATTGACAATGATATAAATAATTTTAAACAAAAATATACCCATTATATCTTAATCGAAATAAATAACCATAAGTTTCAGTGAAAATTTCAAATCGATTATATTTTCTATGAATAATATGAGACATGTACTTACTGCTCCTTCCCTTTTCCCTCCCTTTCCCACTTTTTCCTCCCCCTTTTCCCTAATCAAGGGTGGCGACACATTATCCACATCTCTTATGTTGAAGATGTCCATGAGCGACGGTACTTCCTCCATCAGGTAGGCCGTCTGCTTGGTTTCCCCTTTTACTATAAACAAAAAATACTAGATCATCCCTACTAATATTATAAATGCGAAAGTAACTCTGTCTATCTGTTACGCTTTCACGCCTAAACCACTGAACTGATTTTAATAAAATTTGGTACAGAGATGGAGTTGACCTTGAGAAAGAACATAGGATAGTTTTTATCCAAGACTTTTGAAAGGTTCTCTTGGAAACGCGATATAACCGAACTCCACGCGGGCGAAGGTGTAGGTGGAAAGCTATTGATATATTTGTTGTATATACATATATATATAAAGAGTACGTTGAACTATCAATATATATTAAAAATCAATCAACATTCAGTGTTAGTTATAAAGTAAGTCGCCATCCTGTAATCAGACGCATTGAAACAAATGAATCGTAAACCAAGCTGTTACAATCTCGTTATATCACATATAAATTGTTCCAAATGATGCTCACTTTGGATTTATTCATAAATACAATTGGTACTCACTGTTTTATTACATACATATATTAAGTGGTTATCATACGTTAAAAACTTTATTTATTTAGGTATAATGAGAACTATGTCGCGAGTATTCATTTAAATGAAACTAATGTTTTTCGAATATATGGACTATGCGGTTAATTTTTGATAAAAACTACATACTCTCGACGTTTCGGCTACTTTTAAGCTACTGGGATCACGGGCAGACGACATGTGAGTGTCTGTAGGTATGTTGGTCTTGTTATTTATTATTCGATATATTGTATATATCATGGTTGCTGAAAAGTAACCTAAACCTCGGGAGTATGTAGTTTTTCACAAAAAATAAACCGCATAGTATATCCGAAAAATATTAATTTAATTTATATCTTTATTTAATTAGTCTTTTAAAAATAATGAATATGTATACACAAAGAAAACGTTATCAAAATGATAATTTATTCGAAGTATTTTTAGAATAATCTATTTTTAGAAAACCAGCCCAAAAAGAAAAACAAATTCTTGCCGGTTTTTTATTTATTTTTAAAAATATTTTTATGTGTTATATATGCAAAATGAGTAGGTAATATATATATTTTTTTATCGAAATTGGTTTTTTTGATATAAATCCAATTTGGCAATTAATTTTTTTTTCGGTATCTGTTTCGTATAATTTGATGTTTGTACCATA